TCAAAAACTAGGATTATTCCGATTCTTAACTACTCCTTTCTTACTGGCTCCTTTTAATTCTTTCCCGCACAAATAACAACCAGCCCAGTCATAAGGTTTATTAGGCTTAATTGGCTCTCCCGTTCTTTTTGCCCTTTTCCGCACTAACTCACAGCCAATAACATTCCTACTCACCGGCAAACATAACTTACTACATAAAACATGCTCTCTTTCATGCCCAGAACAATATCACTTCCCCCAGGCTTTTCAGCCTAAATTAAGAATATTCAAATGTCCGAAGTCGCAGAGTTCAAGGTCTAATCTTTTAATATCCTTTATCCGCCGATATTCAGTTCAAGTTAGTTTAGTTGTCATAATTGCTCATATTCCCCTTACTTTAAAAAAGTAGCAAAAAAATTTCCTTTTAAGTCTGTCATTCCTCTAGTTTTTGAAAGCTCTATTTTATGTCTTTTTGCTATATGTTTTATTATTTCTTTCATTCAGTATTTAATTTTTATTCATAATTTATCATATATATCTATATTTTAACACTTTTTTAAGGATTTTCCGCCTATTGTGGTTAGTTGAAAAAATAGTAGAGCGGACGCTCTAAAAATTGGGGTAGTTTTTGAGGTTTTTTGAGAGATTTTTAGTGAGAAAATAATTTTTCTTTGGTTCTTTCTTTTTAAGAAAGCGGGTTTAATACATTTTGCTCCTTAAAAGGCGAAAATGACTGACTTTGAGTAGGAATTTTCTCCAATTTTTTAACCTTCCTCATGGTTGTTAAAACATTCTCGGCTATTCTTTTTATCAAAGGAACAATAACAGAATTTCCGGCTTGCTTATATAAGTGACAATTAGCCAAATTAGGTAATTTGAATGTCGGAGGAAATCCTTGTAAATTAAAGCATTCCCGAGGGGTTAGCTTTCTAATTCCTTGCTTAGTAAAAATAAGTGGAACATTATGCCCCCCTGTGCCTAAATTAGCCGTAAGGGTGGGGCAGACATTTGACTTATTTTTACGCACATAAACTCGTCTTCATTGATAAATAGTATTTTCTTGGGTTATTTCTTGGGTTAATTTTTCATAATAACCATGATTACCAACAGAATAATAATATTTCTTTTCTTGGGGTTCCTGAAAATCCACTAAATCTCTGATTTGAGTTTTTAAGGGAACTTTCGGAGGAAAAGAAAAAATTTCGTATTGCTTTTTCTCTTGAAAACCGACAATAAAGACTCTCTCGCGGTTTTGAGGAATATTTCCATGAGTTTCGGCACTTAATACATCATATTTCACCCAATAACCACAATCTTTTAACAATTCTAACATTTTTTTTAAGGTTTCTCCCTCGTTATGATTAACTAGATTTCGCACATTTTCTAACAAAAAAGCTTTTGGTTCCTTAGCTTTTAAAAAACGAATTATCTCAAAAAATACCTTTCCTCTTTCGTCATTAAAGCCTTTTTGTTCTCCTGCTACACTGAAAGCTTGGCAAGGAAAACCGGCAATTAAAATATCAAATTCAGGAACTTCCTCTGTTTTTACTTGCTTAATATCTCCCTCCACTAGTTTATGATTAGGAAAATTTGCTCGGTAGGTTATAGTTGCGTATTTATCTATTTCGTTGCCTCATACTATCTTAAACCCTGCTTGTTCAAATGCTAAATCTATACCTCCAATACCGGCAAATAAACTAGCTACTTTATACTTTTTCATGGCATTTTTTTAGTAATTCATGTAAATTAACCTTTTTGTAAGGTTCTAACCGGTGCTTCTCAATTAATTCTTTGATAATTGAAAAATGTGGTCTTCTTCCCTGTTCTTGTTGTTGGAGAAATGTTTCATTTTTCTTTTTATTAAGAACTATGCCGTCTAATTCTTTCTTGGGAATATCATATAATCAAACTTCGTCTTTGTTAATATCAAAACGAGCAAAATGTAAAAAATCAAACTGGCTTCTTGGTCCGAAACTAGATAAATCATCCTCAAAGTTAGAAGTAGCCTTAATTTGAATAAAATCTCCTTCTGAACTTTTGGCATCATAACTACCTTCGCCAATTGCCAAAGCAAAATTATTAAGATAACAAACTAATCTTTCAGAAATCGACTCGTGTAAGTTAATACCCCTACCATTCAATTTTTTAACTTTTTCACTAGCTTCTTTTCAAGAAAAATAAGCTTCCAAAACTTTCAACAATTCCTCTTTACTAATAGGTTTAAATTCTTTTTCCATTATTAATTAGTTTTAAATTGGTGTATAATCATTTTCTGTTTACTAACGTCAAGTTTTTTCTCTCCTCCTACCAATAGCCTACTTCCTAAAATTATAATTATAGGTATACAGAAGACTAGTTGGAAGGAGGAGCCTCCTACACAATGAGCCTAGGGCACTTTTTTCATTTGCCCCACCATTAGCTTTTCAAGTGTAATTTGCTAACTGGTGCTTCGGGTCGTAGGTGATTAACCTAGACTTCTCCGATTTCTAACTCTCTTTAAGATACTTATGAGTGGTTAAAATTTGGGTCAGTAGTAAAATACTTTCCCAAAATAGACAATAATTAAAAAAAAAGCGTTCTGCTCCCCTAATTACTGCCTATTTTCGGAAATTATTTTGGTGTCAAACCATTTTCTGTCATGGTGGTTCCCTAACAGAAACAAAGGGTTTAGGAATGGTGTTATAATCATTTTCTATAATAGATTTTTGATAAGTTAAGTGTTGGCTAATTGTCCGATATTCAATCCCGAAATCTTGTTTTAATAAGTTTCAAAATTCAGTTGGAGTTTCAAAAATATAATTCTGTTTCGGAAAAAAAGTCCCTCATGACTTATACTCATAATAACCTAAAAACTTACCACTTTTATCATAATAAGCATTTCCGGGAAGCATAACTTCACCGCTGATTTTAGCATCACCTATCTTTTGGCCTTGAAAATAAAAAGTGCCAGTTTTCTCATGGGTTTTTTTACTTTTAAAGAGAAAAGGTATGCGAATATGACCTTTGGGACTTTTGACATAACCGCAAGCATACTTTTTAGCAATTTTAGTTCATTTCTTACAGTCAATATCTAATCAACCAATATAACAGTTCTTTCAGTTATCTTCATAAATGCGAACACAACCTCTTTCTAAGTTGTTGGTATCTATTTTAGGCTTATATCAGTAATCAGAAGCATTTCAGTTCTTAATAATTGGATGTTTTAGTTTAGTTGGAACTGGAACAAAAGAGCGGTGATTAACTAATAACTTTAAAAGTTGATTTTGCTTGTTTTGTTGAAATTCAGAAATAATTTTAGGAAGTTTATTGGCTTGTAGTTTAAGCCGGTATTTTTGTTGGGCGAGGAGGTATTTAGACTTGTTTTTGGTGTAATAATCCCCTTTGTGTTTACCGTGTTTTGATTTTCTTTTAGTATCAGTATAAGAAATTAATTCTTTACTGGTAATTTGCCAAACTTCCATAATTATTAGTTCAATGAGCCAGCCAGCCAAGTCTAGGAAGTTTGGCTAAATCCGACCAACTGGTCTTCTGGCTAATTCAATTAATAATCTTATATTTATATTTTTAATAAAACACTAGATATAACCTCTCCTCCGATATTCCCTAAACTTCTTTTTTTGCCAATCTGCTAATTGGTTATGATATTTCTTTCCCAAACAATCCAAACACAATATCTTATAACTACTGCTTATTCCTCAAAAACTAGGATTATTCCGATTCTTAACTACTCCTTTCTTACTGGCTCCTTTTAATTCTTTCCCGCACAAATAAC